GCACGAGCCTCCAGATAACACCTTTCTGCAACAACGGACCACACTTATCATTTCTAAAAACAGAAAACTGTGTCCTTTTACTGTAGAAGTAAAAAAAAAAAAAAGTCACAATAAATTTCCAACAACAGCAGCTTCGGGTTGCACACATTTGCAGTCTTTTTCTTTTCATTATCATGACATTCTCGGCTCCTGGAGAAGCTGCGCTGCCGCCGCGGCACCGCTCGCTCCATCGGTAAAGAACGGCGTTGGCCGGAGCGTCCAGATGGACAATAAACCTGGGCTCCTATAAACCGATGCATGATGGGACAAATGAAGTTGTTTTATGTAAACAGCTGCTGTGGAAAAAAAAAAAAGAAAAATCTGTGTGGAAAAGCTCAAGCTTGAGATCAAGCTGGCAAATGGCAAAGAGCAAATTTCTTGAATTTCTCTGTGTTTTGCAAACGGAGAACACACAGCAACCACAGCACAACAGCTGTACCTACAATGAGTTCTGACTTGGAGCTGCAAGCTCTCGCAATATAAAGGATTCTTTACACAACATGGTCACTCCCTGACCCAGAGCCAATTGAACAGGTTTACTGGCCAGGCATGTAGCCACAGGATGGACAGGATTCCATCTCTTCCTTACTGAAAGGTCACTTAATTATTTAGTTGACAAACATCTTCTTGGTCAAAATATGGGAGTTTCCAAAAATTAGATGCCTTTGGAACAATTTTCCACACCAAAAACATTGTAAGACCTCATACGTTCTCTGAGCTTCTAACATTCAAATTTGTTAGACCTTAGGCCTTATTTCATCTTACTGTTTTTACCTAAACTTTCTGTTGTTATCTGTTCACAAACACTGGTGCTTTATTTTAGTCACTGACAGCCTGCTGGAACCTTTCCAAGCAATACTACCAATACTACCGCCCTCCCAAAACGAGAGAGGGGAGAAATTATTTGCCACCTGATGTCAGTTCCACGCTAACCGGCTCGGCGAAGAGCAGCTGACTTCGCTATTTAGTGCAGAATTAAAGCTCTGTCGTGGGTTTACTGAAGTACCAAGTTGCAGTGGCGAAAACTGGATTTACATCCAAACGAGGCGCTGCTGCTGCAGGCTGATTAGCCTGTATGAATTGTGTTATTATTTCTTTTAAATTTTATTTTTATTATTTTAGTCATTTAACAGTAGTATTGTTCAGTCTGTTAAAACATGCCGGTCAAGGAGTTTCTGAAGGATCAGTTAGACAGGTTTCCTTTTGACCTTTCCAAGCAGAGGTCAAAAAAAAAAAAAAAACTGGATTTACATCCAAACGAGGCGCTGCTGCTGCAGGCTGATTAGCCTGTTGTCCGATTAGCCTAACTGAAGGATCAGTTAGACAGGTTTCCTTTTGACCTTTCCAAGCAGAGGTCAAAAAAAAAACAAAAACTGGATTTACATCCAAACGAGGCGCTGCTGCTGCAGGCTGATTAGCCTGTTGTCCGATTAGCCTAACTGAAGGATCAGTTAGACAGGTTTCCTTTTGACCTTTCCAAGCAGAGGTCAAAAGGAAACCTGTCTAACTGATCCTTCAGAAACTCCTTGACCGGCATGTTTTAACAGACTGAACAATACTACTGTTAAATGACTAAAATAATAAAAATAAAATTTAAAAGAAATAATAACACAATTCATACTTCACAGTGCCATAAAGCAAAGGCAGGAGGACCCAGGGAGCACGCGACCCTGAGGTCGGACAACAGGCTAATCAGCCTGCAGCAGCAGCGCCTCGTTTGGATGTAAATCCAGTTTTTTTTTTTTTTTTTGACCTCTGCTTGGAAAGGTCAAAAGGAAACCTGTCTAACTGATCCTTCAGAAACTCCTTGACCGGCATGTTTTAACAGACTGAACAATACTACTGTTAAATGACTAAAATAATAAAAATAAAATTTAAAAGAAATAATAACACAATTCATACAGGCTAATCAGCCTGCAGCAGCAGCGCCTCGTTTGGATGTAAATCCAGTTTTCGCCACTGCAACTTGGTACTTCAGTAAACCCACGACAGAGCTTTAATTCTGCACTAAATAGCGAAGTCAGCTGCTCTTCGCCGAGCCGGTTAGCGTGGAACTGACATCAGGTGGCAAATAATTTCTCCCCTCTCTCGTTTTGGGAGGGCGGTAGTATTGGTAGTATTGCTTGGAAAGGTTCCAGCAGGCTGTCAGTGACTAAAATAAAGCACCAGTGTTTGTGAACAGATAACAACAGAAAGTTTAGGTAAAAACAGTAAGATGAAATAAGGCCTAAGGTCTAACAAATTTGAATGTTAGAAGCTCAGAGAACGTATGAGGTCTTACAATGTTTTTGGTGTGGAAAATTGTTCCAAAGGCATCTAATTTTTGGAAACTCCCATATTTTGACCAAGAAGATGTTTGTCAACTAAATAATTAAGTGACCTTTCAGTAAGGAAGAGATGGAATCCTGTCCATCCTGTGGCTACATGCCTGGCCAGTAAACCTGTTCAATTGGCTCTGGGTCAGGGAGTGACCATGTTGTGTAAAGAATCCTTTATATTGCGAGAGCTTGCAGCTCCAAGTCAGAACTCATTGTAGGTACAGCTGTTGTGCTGTGGTTGCTGTGTGTTCTCCGTTTGCAAAACACAGAGAAATTCAAGAAATTTGCTCTTTGCCATTTGCCAGCTTGATCTCAAGCTTGAGCTTTTCCACACAGATTTTTCTTTTTTTTTTTTCCACAGCAGCTGTTTACATAAAACAACTTCATTTGTCCCATCATGCATCGGTTTATAGGAGCCCAGGTTTATCGTTTATGGAACTGACATCAGGTGGCAAATAATTTCTCCCCTCTCTCGTTTTGGGAGGGCGGTAGTATTGGTAGTATCTGGACGCTCCGGCCAACGCCGTTCTTTACCGATGGAGCGAGCGGTGCCGCGGCGGCAGCGCAGCTTCTCCAGGAGCCGAGAATGTCATGATAATGAAAAGAAAAAGACTGCAAATGTGTGCAACCCGAAGCTGCTGTTGTTGGAAATTTATTGTGACTTTTTTTTTTTTTTTTACTTCTACAGTAAAAGGACACAGTTTTCTGTTTTTAGAAATGATAAGTGTGGTCCGTTGTTGCAGAAAGGTGTTATCTGGAGGCTCGTGCAGAGGGGGGTGCTTTGGGGGCTTGAGCACCTGCCCCTTTTGCTCCATGGCCCCAAGTGCCCTTTTGGTTTTTTTTTTTTTCCTTACACATGTACTACAATTATTACTATATTACTATATTACTATTGTTATTATTATTATTAACAGGCAGGGAGACGCAGTAAGTGTTCGCTGAGTCGTAAAAACTGTCACGTTGCGTCATTCCTACCCCTCTTTTTTCTGCTGAGAAATCCGAAAATATATGTCACAGATATGACAGAATGATGACTTTTGGAGGGTAAATTTATCTGAAACTTTTCCGCACAACAAGATATTCACAGAGTGTCCTCTTTGTCTTGCTTGTGTGTGATGTTGAAGAAGAAGAAGAAATGGTTCCTGTGGTTCAGAGGGAAATGTCTCATGGCAGCAGGGGCGGCCACAGAATGGGGCCCAATGGGTGGCACATCAACAGGGAATTCAAATTCAATTCAGATTTAAATTCCAAAATGCTTTACTGACACATATTAATTCCAAGTTCTGCAAAGCAAAGTGGAAATAAGGAGGAAGCTCCTCAATGTTCAACCAAGGATGATTATAATATTCTGTTGGTTATTATGAAGACTGTGATTTTTGCCATTCCTTTTGTTTAGAAAAGGTAACTAAAGCGGATACATTTCAGTTCAATTGAAATTGATTCTGCTTTTAAATTGTTTTATTTAAATTTAGTTTTTCTGTAAGAAATACATTTTGGGGTCTGATACCAATTAAATACAGAGCCAGTCTTCCAAATGCTGACGCTTCTGATTTAAATTTGATGTCTTTTGTAGTTTGTACTTCATTTATTTATTTATCTTTTTATTTATTTATGTATTTTGTTCAAACCAAGGACAGAATTTCAACAAAGTTTATAGGCGTCAACAGGCGCGTGCAGAGGGGGGTGCTTTGGGGGCTTGAGCACCTGCCCCTTTTGCTCCAAGGCCCCAAGTGCCCTTTTGGGTTTTTTTTTCCTTACACATGTACTACAATTATTACTATATTACTATTATTATTATTATTATTATTATTATTATTATTATTATATTATTATTATTATTATTATTATTATTATTATTATTATTATTACTTTGCAAGAAAAACAACACAATAAGCCCTCCGGTCACATTGTTACCTTTGACCTTTTGCCCGTGACGCACGACGCACTTGCCTCTCGCGCGGTGAGATAAGGCGGCTAACTGCGGAGCTCAAGCTAGCGACGTTCCAGATTACAAAACAGCTTTTGGTGAACTGAAAAAAATTATTTTTGGTGAAAACACTGGAGTCGGCTTGCTACTGTCAGATAACGGAAAACGTTAAATGTTGTATCGTTTCTCCTTCAGCACGGAGTCGCGGTTTAAGCAGAAATGAAATATAACAAGACAGGCGTCTTAGAGAATACAAGTCTCTAAGTCCGCCTTTCTCTGAATAAACTGAGCGGGAGGAGACAGACAGGTGAGGAAAAGCTGTTCTTATCTATCGATCCAGTATTTTTATCATCAGACATTAGGCTGTTGTTGTTGTGCTATGAGCTAGCTGCTCGCTAATGACTTTGCTAGCAAAGCAAGGTAACTAAATAGCTTCCCTGTATTGTTAATGACAGTAGTCTTTCTTCAGTATTACTTATGCAATAGGGCCACATCGCCCGTCCAAAACCTATCATCTCCATAATGGATATATGTCCGATTTTCTAATTTTCTTTGGTGAATGATGTATATTGCATTTATTCTAGCGTTAGGTAAATGTATCTTGAAGGAGAATTTAAATAAAAGTCCAACAAGGATATTCATTTAGAATTAAAAATAACTCATCCTGAACTACCATGATAGATATAATGTATGTAATAATCAAAGTGTTTCTGTCCAATAAAGCATGTCATTAATGAAGGGGCAAACATAAACTTTTATTTGCACACATCAGAAATCTTTGGTTTTGATTTTAGGCTCTCCCCAGACGTTATGTGAGAATCGCAAGCAAAACTTTGAATAGCAAGCAAAGATTTCTGACATGCGCAAATAAGTTTGTTTGTTTTGCAAATAATTTTTTAAAGTCATGAGATAAAAAATTGTGATTTCAGTTTAAAAAAAAAATTTAAGTTAAACTTTTTTTGTTGAAAAAAATGTTACAATTCAAAATGTCTTGATCACAATTTTATATTATTTAATTGAGGTTAGTATTTTAATTGAATAATTGTGAAACAAATTGAACTCCATAGGAGAGGTCTCATTTTCTCTGAAATTAATATTGTTATGCTATGGACTGAAAAACATACTGGTTTAAACACTAGGGTAAAGAATTGGTAGTGTGGTTTATTATAGTGTTCTGATCATAATTCTTTGTTTTGCTTTTTTCAGTTCAAAGACGCCACGTAAAGAGAGACGTCAGAAACAAAAAAGAAAGAGTGGATTGTTGACCAACTGGGTCAACTGTACCAATCATTCACAGTGAGGTTATTAACATTCTTCGAGACATGACCAGCAGAAAACTGTTGCTATGAACAAAAGAGAACAAAAACAGCAAAAAATGCTTAAAAGTTTGAAATTTGTTTTTAAACAGTTAAAAGGCAAGAGACTGAAATAAATAAGACTTCACTCAACACAGAGAAGATGAGACAATGAGGGAAAAAAGAAAAGAGAAACTGACAAGAAAAAAAGAAGAGGAAAGATTGAAGAAAATGTACATAGGTACTTACAAAATACACTAAAACACAATTAGAGTAGTCTTTTCTCATAGTGACATGCATTAGTTACATTTTTGCTTTTGTTTTTTTCCTGCAGTTCCACGTTAAAGTTTGATGCAGCTCTGCTTTTCTGAATGGACCGTCTTCATCTCCACTGCAAGTACAGCAACCCAAGCAGATGTTCTTTGATTGTATGTCTCACAATTTTATAATCTATCATTGTTAATTAAACTCTGAGAGCTGTGTGACTTTAATATTCTGTCCTGAAATGTGATTTGATGTGCCCTTTTTTTTTTGAGCGCCTGCCCCTTTACTAGTCTCTGCACGGCCCTGGTTATCTGCACACAACAGTTGATCTGTTTTTGATGGGAAACAGAAATTTCACTTTCATATAGTTAAAATTAACATTCAAACACAAGTTAAAGAGTTAATATGTTTCCACACAACACAACAGCAGTTCTATGTAGACAATTGGTTTGCTTTGTTTTTTCTTGTTCCACAAAAACAAAAAACATTATGATTAATTAGGATTCGTGCCTTCCACATTTTTCAAATGAATGCATAAAAACATGTCCAAAAAACCGGTTAAAACCAGTTTTAACAGGTCAAAATCTGCAGCAACAAACACTATGCTTGGTATTTAAAAATTGAAAACATTGTTTTGGTGTTTTCACATGACAACGCAACAGTCTTGTGGTGGCCGCACGCCAAGAACAGAGTGATTTCATTCCCTTATTTGCTTTTTGGGACGTGTTGCAGGCACCAAATTCCAAAACGAGTGAATATTTGCAAGAACCCGATAAAGTTTTCCACCTGAACAGGAAGACGTCGTCTGAAAAAGGATTTGCAAATCACTGCGGTCTGTGTGTACACAGGGTGCCGACGGTTAATATTTCACCTAGCAGCTGGCAATGAGATCTATCAGTTGTTGCAGATATAATATTATCTACGGCATTCATTTATGGTTATTTTGATCAGAAATCTTAAGAGAAAACGTTAAAAAGCCACTGAACTCAGATGTTGGTTTGCGGAACGGCATCATCTTTTACGCTTCGCTTCTCGTGAGAATCTCAAAAGATGATACTTGGTGGTGAATTTGCTTTAAATAGTCAAAAAGTCAACTTTTTTGTCTCTTAACAAACCTGAAAACAGGTGAATTTGTCTTTTTTGTAGGCAAGAGAAAGATATGGGAGCTTGATGTCAGCCAGCTGAGCTGCAGTGCACAGCAATATTTTAATAAAGTTCACTGCAATGGTGCTCGATATTTCAGACAGATGGGGGAAAAAAACAACTCTAACATCTCATTGAAATGTCTTTAAACAGCACAATGCTGCTTTTGCATAAAGTTTATTGCACAAATTTAACAAGTAAAATGATGGAAATGTACTTGTTTCCATCAGGCGCACTAATTTCTAAAGTAAAAAAGATTACGAGAATCGCTTCAGCATGTTTGATAACATCATAAATCAAGACGAGACTGTGTGCAAAAGTGAACGCAGTTACCAAACAAATGCAACCAGAAGTGGAGAAAACCAGAATAAAATACACATAATAACAATAATAAAATAAAACAAAAACAGTGATCTGTAGTGGTTATGGAGTTAAAAGCGCTTTATGATCCCCAGCTGAGCAGTTATGCTGCCAAGTTTTAATGAGCTGATAGCGCCAGTGACCTTGAGCGTTCCTAATTCAGTTTATTGCGCGATACGGCTCACTTAAAAGGCCGTGAAACATTTGAAGGGCTGCACATCCAACAAACTATAATTAATTATTTTTTTAAAAAAATTCCCATCAGTTGATCCATTTGGTTCTGTTGGTCCTCTCCCCCCTTCATAAGAAAAGCCCCCTGTAGCCAACTACTCTGGTCATTTCTGAGGTGAAACTGGAGGGCACCTGAAATTCAACAGGCGATACACCGGCGCTGGACCTGATAGTGGCTTTTGAGAGCTGATAAAGTCCTGCTGAATATTTACACTTGACATTTTTCCACTCTTCTGTGTTGCATTCATTCTGCCAGCTGATATTACCCTCTGAGTCGTTGCAGCCGCTTTTGTTTTTTTGTTTTTTTTTTGTGCATGATCCAGTAGGTTTTATGGTTGAATTCTGCAGATGATAAAAGTCCTTCACAGAACCGCTGAGTTTAACCCTGATGAGGACACAGGCCGTGACCGACTGAGCTCATAACTCACCTGCTGCTTTTTTTATTTTTATTTTTATACTTTTTATTTTACACACTTATTAAAAGATCCCCTGTTAACCAATAAAAGTGACAAATCGACAATTGTTTAGGATGGGTTTATGGGCCATGAGCATGAATGATGCCATGTTTGCGATCTGACACATGGCTCCTGTGGCACAGCAACACACTGGGGCCACTCGGCTCCTTCTCCCCCTATACCTGTGGTTTTCCACTGCACTGAAACCGATGGCTAGAGATGAATTATGATTGTGCTGTGTTCACGTGAACAGAACAGAGTGTGATTTCAGACTGAATGCAATGTATGACAAGTCCAGCAAATCTCTTTCAGTTCGAAATACCTGAGGAGAAGGTGCGCAGGTGTGGCAGTGTGGGTGGTAGAGCGTTTATTATGGGCCTCGGGTCACCGTGCTCACTCCAACCGTGTTTAAAGGGACAATTCCGCTTTTTCTTTTCTTGTTATTATTTTTTTTTTTTTAAAAAAGGGAAAGGAAATGTGTGTGTTATCAAAAAGTCAAAAAAGTGGGCTTCCGTCACTATACCATGAGCGGTCAATATGTAATGTGTGACATGACTTTTGCTGCATTTTATTTTCGTACATGTAAAGAGATCAGGCTGATTTCCAACCTTTTTTGTTTGTTTGTTTGTTTGCTGTTGTAAAACTGAAATATTTCATTTGGAACCAAAATAAACAGCATTCAATATATTCTCTGTGCATTAATAATTTGAACAAAGTATTTCCAACCATTTGTATGGATAGAAATGACTGACATAGCCTTCAGGGGATTTGTTATAATTTGGCTAATGGTTCATTTGCTCTTGTGCCGCTTTGACCAAACTTCCCTAAGTGGGGTGAAAGGTTACGGTTGTTTCAGAAAAGCATAGTCGTACTTTTAGATTCCCCCCAACTTTATCAATATTTTAGCCTCTGAAATATCTAATAAGTGTGCATAAAAATATAATATGCCAACAGAGGAGCATTTTCTATTGCCTCCCAACCAAAGCCCAGCTTTAAAACAATCTGTCCTACCACTTTAAGAACTTGATAACCTTTGTCTCATCTAAACCCGAATCATGCCTATATATATTTTTATGACTTCTCTACGTGTGAAAATGGCCTCTAGTGTAGTATAAGGGCAAATTCTACCTAATCAGCTGCTTGTTTTTGTTGCTTTGCCTGCGTTGCAATTAAGTGGTTTCAGAATAACATTCATCTCTCTGCAAACCTGTTGTTACATCAGTGAGCACAGGAATGTTGCAAACACAGGAATGCGTTCATCACTGGGGTTCTTGGCTCAGCACAGCAATGCTACAGTGACAAAACACCAAGTCTTTCCGAGTAGTTTTGCTTTAGTTTCTAGTGCAAATATCTTAGCGCACATGAAATAAGGCAAAACTAACAATTAACTTCAGCAAGAGATACAGGAGTTTGTGTTAAGTAAACAACAACAACAACAAAATCCTTAATATTGATGAAAAAGGACTTGTTTCATTAGCAGATTTTTTCACTTACAACATGGGAGAAACGTCTTATATTAAGTGGAATAATTGCTGGAAGTGGCACTTTTTCATCTAAGCAAACTCCTAAATCTTGCTTAAAAGTTACTGGTGAGTTGGTTTTGTCTCATTTCAAGTGTACAAAAATATTTGCAGCAGAAATTGGAGCACAATACAGAAACGACTCTTCTATTGCAGTGCGACATCCTCATCAGTCGTGTGAACCCTGCTGGAGCAGCTCAGTCCGAGCCTCCAGTTAGCTAAATATGTCAAAAAATGATCGCCAGCTGTAATTTACGAACATAACAGACAAACCATATTCAAGAGACGACAAAGTGGTACTTTAAAAATAGCCATTTGTTTTTAAATGTGCAAATATTACACAGTTTTAAATACTGAGTGCTAGCATTGGCAAATAATAAGAAATTTAAAATGCTACATTGGAATCCAAAATGCTCAGATGTGAAACTCATTTCAAATAATAATAAAAAAAAGTCTTGTATTCACATATATATCAACTTATACAAGACAGGCGCTATGTACATCGATTTTGGAAACGTTAGACATCAGACGTCCCGACACGGCGGGCCCGATGAGAGCATGTGTGTCAGTTTTGTCCGTAGTCTCCATGGTGGCAGGCAGCATTTATTACAGTTTGTCACAAGATAATCAACACCTTACCCCAACCTGAGAAGGAATGAACAATTACGAAATGTGTCACAAGAAAACAGTTGCATTAAGTATCGGCTCCCCCCACCCCGATGAAATCAGAACTGAGTCGCTCTCTCGTACGTCTTGTCTTCGTCTCGGGACATGGCGGGGTTGTCGTACGTCGCCAGGCTCTTCCTGCTGGCCCTGGAGATCTTCTCCGCCTCGTCGTCCTTTCGGCAGCAGCTGCTGCACTTGCAGCAGCAGCAGCAGTGTTTGCCGCAGAAGAACATGGAGCTCGTCACCACTTTGTCCCACGGCGCCATGGAGTGCAGGGGCCGGGGCAGGAAGTCCCAGTTGCGGAGGAACTTGGGTAAGAAGCAGGGACACCGTGACTGCATCACGTTGATGACAATCGCGAATATGGCGAGGGCCGCGATGGGCACGCCGACGCCGACCAGGACCTGCCAGCCAGCTATGGACAGTCCAAACACGATCAGGGGGAACACCAAGAAGCATAGGACGAGGTAGAGAGCTGCAAACCAGCGGTACTTGGCAGTTCTGTTCCCCAGGACTCTGGCTAATGTGATGGGCAACCGCATGAAGGGGATTGGATACCACAGGAGGATACCCATAACGTTGAAGAAGAAGTGGCAAAGTGCAATCTAGGCAAGAGAACACACACATTACAATCACATATTAACAAATAAACAATATTAAGCACAAAATAAGCATGGGAAGCTGACTAGAGGGGCAGTATTATGCGTTTTCCAGGCACATGGTCCCATTTTGAAGCACAATCAAGCAACTATGTTACCCTCAGTTGTTTTAAAGAGGCTATCCAGAATAGATGGGTAGAAACGCCTTTACTTTTGCTGCAATATTTTGATGGTTTTCACACAGGCATTTCACTCTCAATTTTGTGGTAATTTCTCAAAATAATAAATATCTTACGTTCAGACACACTTTATCCACATTAATTCATTCTCTCCTATTTTTAGATGTGATCACTGACCACTCTGGTAATTTGCCTTGCCAGTCTAAATAAAATCAACCATAAACCAGCATGACATCTCGGTTGTTGGAGCACCAACACACCTGAATAGAGCTGGCTAGCTTGTCTCCAGTGCTAGCCATTGCGGCCAGAATGGCGGTCGTTGTTGTGCCGATGTTTGACCCCAGCGTCAGCGGGTAAGCTCTCTCAAGGGAAATGACGCCGATACCTGGGAAATGAAGACAGGCAGGGTTTAAGTTTGGATGTCAAATTAAACCCCAAAAATTTAAGTGGATCCGAGGCGACTTACCGACGAGAGGCGTTATAGCCGATGTGAAGACGGAGCTGCTCTGAACGATGAAGGTCATCCCGGCTCCCACCAAAATTGCAATGTAGCCAGTAACCCAACCAAAGGGGAAGGGAAAGTCTGGAACGGAACAACACGTCTGGATCGAATGAGCTGGTAGCGTACGATGACTACCACAAAACACACAAGTACTTTGGCAAAACAGAACTTGTGCCTGAGCTCTCTGAGCGACGCTCCAGTACTGTTGGACCGGGAGTCCAGCCAGGAGCAACAGGAGGACTGTACCTGTGCTGCTCATCAAGCATCACTACGACGATGCAGGTGTGCTGACTATCAAACAGGCCTTTCACGAAGCAGGGGAACGTGTGGTGCTTAACGTCTGTACCTGTGTTGAGCACTTTCTTGATGACCACAGCCACCTGTCCTTTGAGCATAGAGTTGAGCAGCTTGACGATGAGGATGAGGCAGGTGCAGAGGACGAGCAGAGAGAGCGCCAGCAGAATCAGGCCTATGGCGAGGTCCGGCAAGTCAACGTAGACGAAGATGTGCTTGCCTGCAAATAAGTGTCAACATTTACAATGGGCGACCTCACTGGTAACTCTCTGAGACATTTCAAGCTTTTGAGACAGCTAGAAGTGTGTCTTGTGCAAAAGAAGGCGGTAAGAATGAAGCACACAAAGCCTAACAAGTGACTTGCTTTAAGCGCAAGCAGAATACTTGGAGTAAGTGATCCACGTAATGGACTTGAGCTGGAGAAAGGCTGCATGAAAAGACTTATTCATTAAGATAGATACTGAAGCCGGGCCATAAACCGAGGTACTGCAGCGTCTCAAAGGTTGGCATTGTCCAGACGTCAGAGGAGCCTTTTTTTGGCCAAATGGCCCGCTTACGTTTCACTGAGCTTCAGTGGATCAGGTTGTCCTGACTGCTTTGTTGTAGTCCCTTAACCACCCCCACCAAAAAGAAGGGAAGAATAACATTCAGGGAAGCATTACATCTCTCAAGGTTGTTGATCAATGTCTCGTTCATCTCAGTCCAGGTCTCGTTTCCCTCCATCCAGCAGACGTAACCTGCAGGGCAGCTTTCTACGGTGGTATTCCAGAAAGTCTGAGACATGTCCAAAACAGGGAGGGGACACAGTAAGCAACCAGCAGCAGACAGCCATCTTTTTGTTTTAGCAAACAACATTAATTCCTTTTAAAGAACATTACCTCACACAATGAAATCACTGTGGTCACAGATTGGGAAGGACAATATCAGTGATTTAGAGGAAGGATAACAGACTCTCTCATCATTCCAAGACTTCATTTTTTGCCACTGATTTTTCTTTATGTGCTGCAGCAATTGCTGATTTCTTACCAAGTTTTTCTCTGTCTTGCACCATCTTTTAACCAGACTCTTGTTCCTAGCTGCAGCAGAGCCAGTTGCGATGTCATTGATCACCGATTTGTCCAGCTGAGGGGACAAGGAAGAGTTTCATTTGCCCGAATCTTGAACAGTGAATCCCAAGCCTCCCATCTCGACTCATTTTGTCACCTGGATGATGGAGCTGGTGAGGGGGTCCGTGATGACCTTCAGCAACTCGGGCGCATTCTCTCCAGACTCAATGTTAAAGGACTTGATCAGGAGGTCGGTGAGTCTGAAGAGGAAGCCCGTCGCTGCTTCCAAAGGCAGAAAGACAAGCACAGACAGCCAATTGAAGAAGTCGTGGACGGTGGCGCCAGCGAACGCCCTAAAAGCAAAGAAAACAATGCGTTAAACACTTTGCTGGAGGTTACCCTTTGTATTTTATTCCTCCCTGCTTCCTGTTTACCTGCGGAACTCATTTCGGTCTCCAGCTTGCATCACAGCCACGATGGTGTTGGTGACCGATGTGCCAATGTTGGCCCCCATGATGATCGGTACTGCAGATTTGACGTCCAGCACTGAACAAAAGCAGAAGCGACAATTGATGGGTCTCAATAATCCTGCTGTCATGATTGCATTTACTCTTGGCCTAAATCAAGAATTAGAAAACGTCTCTTGAGTTTTCAAGTCTCAAGGCACTTCGCAATCAGTCATGTACTAATTCCTCTGTTTTTGAACTTTTTAACAATCACGTAAGTTATTACATTATTGATTATTGTATTTTTGGCATAGACTTTTAGCATGCTTCCATGTTGATGTTGAGCTTCGGGTCTTTCAGGTCGGAACGTCGTATTCGTATCCTAATCCGTAACTCTCCATAGATTTTCATACAGACTCTTTTGGAGCTCGGCTGCTCCAAAAATACTAATATCACATTCAATACGGAAATAAAAATCTTCGGAATACTTTTTGGAAAAGGTATTTTAGCTCAAAACAATCATTCAGTGAGACCCTCATAGTGTCCAGAAAGAATCTTACTTACATCCAGAAGACACCATGCTGACCACAATAGACGAGGAGGTGCTGGAGCTTTGCACCAGGACTGTGACTAACACCCCGATCACCAGCCCAGCCACAGGGTTGGATAACACGGTGCTGTCCTGGAAGATGTCACCAGCTGCTTTGCCTGTACATACACAGACCTCAAGGTTCAATAGGTTACACACCACGAAAGCACCCTATTGTCTAATTCAGAGCATAAATGTGCAAAGACGGAACAGTGAGTCAGAGTGACCCACGGCACTAATTTGGTTTTCACCTCCGACTAGCTGGAAAGCAGAGCTGAGAACATCCAGCGAGCAAATAAACAGGTAGAGTAATCCGAGCAGCAGAATCTGCTTCACAATGGCAGTCAGCACTCTCATTATCTTCCCTCGTGTATCCAGCTCTGTGCGGCAGGATAAAAAAAAAATGCTGAGTCAGAGTCAGCTTTTAGAAAAAAGGGATTGGGATAAGAATGGCCAGCTGCCTCACCTGACCACTTGATCCCGGTGTCTTTGAGTTCTGGGAGATCCCAGGGATTGTCCTCAGGAGACGCCTCGTTCTCCAGGTCTAAGGTGGCGTAAGGTGGTGGCATTTCCTTATTTTTACCCTTAGACCTGTCACCTAATGAAAGATCGGAAAACGCAGGTGTCAATGACAGCTTGAAAGACTTTAGAAGTATCCAAAACAAAACAAAACAAAAAAGCGCCTACTCATGGTGGAGGACGAGTCGTTCCCCTCTTGTGGTCTCGGTGCCATGACTGTTGGGGAAATGACGAGAAGTTGAAAGAATGAAGTCGGATGGGTGGATTCAAAAGAAATGCAAAGCGGGCCCGTCCTGACTTTTAGGGGTTTTGGTCATCACACCGATTGTTAATGCGACGCTACAGAGAGACACGAAAAACCTGCTGAGCTGGCAGTGGCTGTTTTGTGAAAAACAGAAACAAATCCAGACGAGGCCATTTTGTTGTTTTTAATGATGTCACGTGAACCACCACCGTTGGGCAGGTGTCCGTTATTAAAGTTTTCATCTGGAAAAGTCTAAATGTAAAGTTATAAGTGGGGTGAAAATGTTCCAGTGCTGCTTTTCCAATCGTTCTGTTGATCGTTGATGTTTGACTTTCTGATTCAGGTTTCCATTACGGACGGTGAAAATTTGAGCATAAACCCGAAATCTGCGAAATGACCTTTGCACTAAAGTCTCCCATGGCGTCTGGGTGCCATAGGAAACGGGCCGGTGCTCATCTCAACCCATTGTCTGAATAAATTCAACTCTTTCAAATAGTTTTGTTTTTTTCTGGAGTAAAGAAGGACAATCTGTTCACATAAAAAATCAAGAAAACAATCAGTCATGGAAAGAAATCACAATTTCTACTTAAATATATCACTAACAGGGATGACGGACATTGCTTGTCACACTGTGTGACAAGCAATGTCCGTCATAATTAATGGTTAATTATTACGTTTAACTACAATTAATTGGCAATTTTTTTTTAAAATAATAAAAGAAATTTACACACACACACACACACACACACACACACACACACACACACACACACACACACACACACACACACACACACATATATAAAATGAGACCTATTTTAAATCAGTAACCTGAACTTTGAATGATTCAGTTATGATCAGTTCAAAAAGCGTGACAGTTTCAGGAGTATGAGACACAAAAAGGCTCTCAATGTTTGATTAAAAACCCAAAAAACAAAAAACAACCACAATCATCATCAGAGTCAAAGAAATAACCTCTAGTCGTGAACAAGGTCGTTTCCCCCTCTAACCGTCTGCAGCCCGTTTCCTCTCGGCGTCTTCCTCACCTGCAGATGAGCGCCCGTGCGTCTGGAGCCGCCGTGTTCACCTGGGTTACCTGACGCTCTGCTCCCACGCGCCGCGCCGCTTTTATAGAGCACAGCTGCTGCTGCGCGCGCTCTTCCTCCCTCCCTCCCTCCGCGCTCGGTTCAAAGGTTGCGCACCTTGGGCCAGAGTACAAACAGCAGCAGCAGGAGGAGCAGCGGTACACACACGCACACACACGCACACACTGAACGCGGCCTGGCTGATAAACGGAGCCAATAATCTGATTAATAATAGTTACTCACCGACGCGAGGAGCTTCCTTTGAATCATCTTGGGTTAAAATGACCTCGGTGGAAGACCTCACTGCCTCTCCATAAGGCTGCAGACACCAACACGGAGCACGTCCACATGCTCAGCCTGGAGCCTCAGGTGGCGTCACACAGCAAGCTGCCCTCTGGTTGCTGGGAAAGGAACTATTTTCAACACTTAAAGCTGAGAGAAAGGTGGCATAGAACAATTGCTCCTCGTTGTGCATTTGTTATTTCTAAACAAGCATGTTCAGGATGCAGCCTTGAAGACTTCTTCGGTTTATTTCACCGTCACACTTACAAGTCATCAACAAATAACAGTGACAACAACAAGAAGAAGAAGATAAAGAAAAAACTGATTACATATGATTGTTTCTTTTTTCTTTTTGAAGATGACCAGAACAGTGTTGCTCTGTGTGAAAGTGTAATCCGCCTCCCTGTTAGATCAGATGTATAATTAACCACACGTTTTGGATAGCTGAGAATGAAGACCACGGTGGAGCTGAAGCTTTCTAAAAAAACAAAACAAAACCTGGAGCTGGCTAAATGATCTCAAAAGCAACATGTCATTGCCCGATTTGGAGAAAATGAAAGAACAGATGAGAAATACCGTAAATAAGTAAGTCAGCGTGAGAAAACCTTGTCACACTTCCTGTGGCTCAGAGAATAAACTTTAAAATACTGTTGGTTTATAAGTCGCTGAAGGGCTTGACGCCGCAATATATCAAAGTTCTGCTGTTGCATCGGCCTTTCGAACCCCTCAGGGCTCCTGGTCCTGCATCAGAACCGGAACTAAACACGAAGGCCGCAAATCTGGTACGAGCTTCCGGAAAACTGCCAAACTGCTGAAACCCTGAGCTCCTTTAAATGAAGCCTAACTGTTGGTTGCTGAAATGTGCTACACAAATAAACCTGACTTGAATATTAATCCCAGAATGCACTGCAATAACCTTTCAATTCTAACGGGAAGAGAACTTTGTACAAATATGTAACATTGTGGTTTTTAATAAAAAACTCTGCCCTAAAGGAAGCCGTCCCTTTTTCCATAGGAAACTTTGTTGCTTGCCGAAGGGAGATATTTAAATCTGGATCCAAAGTAAACAATCCGTCTACCGCCTCGGTGTATTCAGTGACTGAATTCTGGCTGAGAAACAGGCCTTGACCCCGGCATATTTGAAATTCTGCAGAAGGAATCCTGAAGTTACGGGTTCCTCAAGCAGAGACGCTGTCTCTGATTCAGCGAACGTCGGAGATGAACTCGAGTCCAGTATTTTAACATCGTATTTTAACGCCACGCCGTGAGCAGGCAGGTGTTCGTTCTGAGGTTGAAACTGTTTGGCTTTTCTCTCCTCATGACCAGCTGGTGCCCCAGCTGATCGTAAAAAGGCTGCTGCAATAATCACAATAAAAGTGCAAGAGCCGCAGCATGGTGAATATGACAAACGTGGAACGGTGGCGAACCTTCCTTCTACGAAAATTAAGCTAGCATGAATTGAGCTATTCTGTTGTTTTGTGTTTTTTTATTTTTTATTTTCATCAAATTATTCTATGATGTCCGTTTTTTTGCGCAGCACGTTGGCGCAGCTTCTTTTAACCTGTTTTCAAAAGGGCCATATAAATAAATTTGAGGCTGACGGAACATCTTATCAACAACTCATTCTGGAAACCAGTCAAAAATTTGCATCCGTGGGCGAGTTTGAGTGCAATAAAACAGTGCTGACCCGGCAGAATGCAGAAAATGTTTCACATTAGCTAAATAAAAAAAGTTTTAAAAATAACATATTGATGCCGAAGGCTTCTGGGTGATATTATGCAGATAAAAACTGAATTCTTCCCGTCACATCTGGCATAAAACTAACATCACAATGTGATTCTCCTGCCATAATTGGTGGAACAATTTTAGTATACGACTTAATTTTCCTTTTTTTTTCTTTTTTTTTACAACATTGAAAGAAAAGCTTGATTGTATTTCATAAGTCTCTGAAAAGTGTTTCTTTTTTTACAACTCAGTCCTTGTGTTTTTGAAGTTGAATTGACTTCTATGCCCCTTTTCTTCTTCCATCGTTTTAATTTTTTTAGCTTTATGACGTCTGTCATCAACATGTTTCACCAGCTGAATTTGAGTCTATATAGAAGATATTTATTTTTTGTTTATGTTGTGTAACTGTTCAATGAATATCTTAGAAAAATGAATAGGACCACACAGAAAGGAGGATGTCCATCAGTTTGTGACCTAAAGTCTATTTCCACTTGGGTTTTAAAGGAAGACAAAGGCTAAATGACTAAAGGCAAAAAAAAAAAAAAAAAAAAAAAAAAAAAAAAAAGGGAAACGGTTGAGAGGCATAGTCAAAGTCTGGAATTAAATCTGAATGAGAGACAAGATCAAACTTTTTTTGTGTAATTTCAAACATTAAGCGCAACAAAACATCAAATACAGAAGAATTCAGTGAGTTTAAAAATACTTTTTTCACTGCACTGCTTCAGAACACACACACACACACACACACACACACACACACACACACACACACACACACACACACACACATATGTTTATAGCTCCCTGAATTTGTCTTATACTCATAGTGAAATACTGCGCTGATGGTACTGCAACAACATATCGTTTTACATCTGAAATAAACGCCGTGTATAAAAGTGAATGATTAAACCCTGGTCGTGTTCCAGCTACTCCCAAAATGCTGTAAAATAATCGTGATAAATTTAATGTGGCGTCAATAAAACAAGTTCACAGAGTTGAAGGGGGGGGAAAAAAAAGAAACCTCTGAACATCTGACATAAGGTAAATGAAAATGAATACATAAATATATGTATTAAATGGACAGAAAATTGTTCTCAAATGATACATAAATGCTGTGGTTATTATGATGCAATAACGTTGCTACTGCATCATAATTGGATCTTCCTTGCAACTGGTTTGTTTTGCAACAACGCCAGGCTTCACATATGTGCATCAGTTTTCAATAAAAAATTATTCCTCTACGGTGCGAGAGCTGCAAACATGAGTCAGACGACTCCAGACGTGCCTGAATGGAACTCCAAAATAAACTAATCTGGCTAGATTTGGGGCTTAAATACAGTATGTGATTGTTTTGCTTTTTTTTTTTTTCTTCCCAATCTTAGCTTCAAAACAATAGCTCACGACCAGAAATCAATGATTACACCATGCTGCCCTGAACTACCAATCAGATGAGTGCATTCTGCAACTAGAGGCAGAGTCTGGAAGAAACATTATGGTATGGGTTAGACGTTATGAAACTGCAACAAAAAAATAAAAAATAAATGAAATCAGGTTGTATGATCTCATAAAACCTATTACATAATCATAAAAATCTCCCCGTTCACCCTCCCATGATGTTAATAGACCAAAGAAGAGAAACTATGCAGCGACGCATGAGGATGATTACAAGACATCGACAAGGAAAAAAATAAAAAAGTCATGAGTTGTGTTCTGAGAAGCAGATGAAGTAGAGACATGACACATCGACTAAAAATATGTCTCCTTGTTTGTTTTCTAACGCTGCGTTTAGCTCCTGTAGGTAATAACATTGTCCAAACTCCTTGAACTTTTTCTCACTCTCACAGCCTCAAACTTCACTGGGGATTATTTATTTAGACCTCGTGTCACATTGGCAGCAAAATGAGTGTGTAATTCTAATATGTGTATTTTGCTTCCTTTTACCCCGGAGCGCGAGGCTGAGCTGCTCGGAGTTCAGCGGATAACGGGCCGAGCTGAACGCAATCCTGTTAGAGACGCTGCACAAGGCCGGAGACTGGGGCCGAGGTTTCTAGCAGAGGAACATTCAGCATGCAGACAGAGAGACGGTTTTATAAAAATCTCACTCATCTTTGGCTGTTTTGCACAAAAAAAAAAAAAAGAAGAAGAAAACTGTTGCTTGGTCTGTGATGGAGCAAATAGGATAAATGTTTACTGCAACAGACAATGTTAGGCATAAAAAATAATTATATATATATATAATATATATATATATATAATATATATATATATATATATATAATATATATATATATATATATATATATAAAATCAAATTGATCAATTTAAATTTTAAATTCCAGACTTCCTTGGAAATTACAAGTCAAGTCCTGTGAAGCAGGTTAGCAGCAGTTCATATGTTAGTGAATGTTATTGAGGTTTGCTCAAAATACCTGAATTGTTATATAGGTGCACTAGTAATGATCTTCCTGGTACCAAAAACAAACATGAAAGTTGATACTGAACATTCAAAAAGGCAGTGTAAGAATTAAATATAGCAGTGCTCACTGAATATTATTTAGTAGAATATTTCTGGTTTCAGATGCTGACTATAAACACTTCACTTTTTGAATTAAAAGATTCAGCAAGGTGATATCTAAAGGTGATCACATTCCATGTCAACAATAATAATAACAATAGTTTCTATGCTAATAATTACCCAATGACTATGTGACAATGCACTAAGGCAAATTAAATAGCATGAGCATTAAACTCCATTGTGTTTTTTCAGAAAGTGTCAAATGTAAACCATCTGGTAATAATCCTGACATAATATCTAAATCACCAGCTTGGTGCTTCACATATGTGGGACCACGACTCAGACATGTGGGCATCTTTATGTTCATATGATGGATTGGACAGTTTTCTGTGAGATGTTGGGATGTGGGATGTTGTTGTCCAACTGAACTGCATTAAACTCGTCCACGTCTCTTTCTGTCTGAGCTGCCTGCTGTGCCTCCTGGCGTTCATGACGCTGTTAGTTTGCCAAAGTTCTCTGATGTCGTAAAACTGATATTGAATTAGAGCAGGGCATTTAATTTATCGATGATCGTTTAAAGTGATGCATTTCTTGTCATGATAAGAATTTTGATTTATTGTTGTCACGGTAAATAACAATAAAATGTTTAGAGATTCCCTCTGCAAAACTGTGTGTAATGCGCGGATTGGTATTTTCACTATTTGTACTCTGTTCAACACAAGTGGCAACAAGTGTGGAAATGTGATTAGGCCCAATACAAATGGGAAAGCTTTTCAAGAGCAGTATTTGTGTTTTGTGGGACTACAATTACTGTGACACACAGTCACGGTCGCACGGTTACCGAAAAAAAAGATGTGACTGATGCTTCTTATCCTCACTTGATCGCAATATTACCGCGAAATCTCGTGATGAAACTTTACGTCGTTTTAAATTAAACAGGAAATCGGGTGCGTTGGATTTTCTTTCGGAAGGGGAGAAATAAATACAAGCCACACTTTTCAGATTTATAGCACGACTCCGTGTGACTTCTACAGATGCAAGTATTAGATTTTTATATATATATATATATATATATATATATATATATATATATATATATATATATATATATCTATATATATATATATATATGTATATGTATGCGTGTGTGTGAAGTTCTTTTTGTGACTGTAATGTCACAAAAAGTGAAAAATGTTCACAATTATGTCACAATTATACAATTTTAATTGTATAATTGTTTACAAAGATCAACAAATGTTCTGTTGTGGTTTAAAACTTTATCACTATTGCTGGATTTTTATGGGTCACAATTCCAAGTGACTTTATTAGCTGCACAGATAAAGGAGATACCTGCAAGGTGGAGCACTCAATCTCTGGCTGAACATAGATTAAATATCTTTATTTATCTTTCTGATAACTGCCCGTATGTACCGATTCCCAGAGCAGCAGCTTCTGTGCAGTAATGAACAGTAGAGCCGTCTGGTACTGGGCCTTTTGATTCTCTTCAAAGCTTTTCTTTTTTTTTCCCCCTCCGCCACCCAGCCCTGACCTTTTCGCAGCCTTCGCAGCAGCGTGGCGGGAGGATGACCGACAGCCCCGTCAGTCGCCAACCAATTGAACATGAAGATCTGAAAAAGAGGCAACATTTTACAATTACCTCAGTTATTTATTGACTAACCCATCAGGATGGAGGCAGCGCTTTTCTCCATGTGACTTCGGGAAGACCCACATATGATGGGAGAGGATCAGTGGAGTCTTACCTTTGACCTTTGGAATGCTGCCTTCACCGCCTCCCCACCCACGTAATCACGCGTCCATTCCCCCACACGGCACCAAACGAGTTCTGGACATTTTCTGTTCCTTGTTTTATTTTCCCGCAGTTATCGAATATAAGTCAATGATTGCCTGCAGGGGAGGCCGAGCTGTTTTGCCGCGTTGCCATGCTGGCGCAGTCCACCGAGGGTCAAACGGCTTTCTATACATGCGTGGGCCGCGCAGTAAAACCATAAAACCCTGGCTGATGGAGCTCATCCAAACCGGCTGAATCTCCGCGGGTGGCGGAGAGTCAACAACCATCGAGGTTCCAATCAGACTGACAGAGAAATGGCCACAGACGGCGGGGAGGAGGTCGGTGGGATTCTCTCATTTTATCTTCTTTTAGGGCTGATATTTGGACACGTGTGGCCCAGAAGAACCAACTCAGAAGTTCAACAGTCATTTATCGGAGAGAACTGAGTTCTGTTGTGCTGCCCTCAGATGGACGAGAAGCAGCCCGCATTTAAAAAAGTCGATTTTTCATATTCATTTCACATAAGAAAGATAAACTTCCTTGTATTTTTAATTAGGGTTTCACAAAAGGGAGCATAGCTGTGAAGTTTCGATGCACAGTTTTCCAAGTGCTGATGTAAGGCCGGACAAAATGACTCAAACGCATCGCGGTATAAGTGTTTCATATCTGTCAAAATCGATCATTATTGATTGAGGGTTTTTTTAATTAAATGTATAAAACTCTGCCACATTGGTGGCAGAAAGAAAGTTGATCTTTCTTGTTGTGCAGTTATTATTGTTTATTTTTAAGCAGTTATGAGTCATGGTGGCAAAATATGAAATCGCTGCTGCTAACCCAACAGGTTGTTGCTAGGTGACCAAAGACAAACTGAGTCAGTTGATGCCACTCAGCTTTGCTTAGTTTTTCTTCAGAGTTTGAGCGGCTAAGGTCTTTACTCTGCCTACATCCCCCAGAATGCTGTGCGGTTCCAGACCGGAACTCAGCAGAATTATTGAATACTCAATCAGACATGTATCTGCAGATACTGATCGTGTTTCTACCACGATATTTATTGTTATTGATTTATTTTCCGGCCCTGCTCCGACAGCTGTGTGTTTTTTTTCTGAGCTAATACTTTGGACCTTCTTTCCAAAAAAACAGCTCAAACTCCGTCTGATCGAATGGAAAGTGTCCGTAAACACCAGACTCAATCCCAGATGATCCTTTTTGGGGTTTTTTGCCTATACTTTGACTGGGCCATTGTAACCATGCTTTGATTTGATTTATTAGAGCAATAATTAATGTTGAGTTTTGATATCTTCATCCCACATGTTTGCTGTCTCCCGGTCAGGCCTGGTTTTCAAACTGCAAACAGGACCTCTTGTGGTTCGTTTCAGCAATGACTTTCTTGTTTAAACCTCAGAAATCGACAGAAAGTTGATTTTCCCGCCTGTGCCACACTTTTGAAATGTCGGCACAACATATTTCACTGTGAGACGCTGAAGGCTAACTAACGTTCCCCATTCGAACCTCTGAGGCCGTCACGTCCATTTTCCACACCCACGTCTCCTTGTGTCACCGCTCACGTGACACAAGTTGGACAAATTATTTGTGCTGCTCTTCACATTAACCCCGCCCCTCGCCTGGAACACAGCTGGAGATAGGCACCAACAACTAGGGATAAGGGTGAACAGATGATGGATGTTTTGATATTTTTTTTTCTTATGCTGTCTTTGAGGAAAAAGTAACATGCGCACTCTGAAGCTTCCTCTTCCTCCCATTGTCATGGCGAATTGCATTTTCTGCCTCCCACTGATGAGGCCTTCTGATATGCTCGCATTCAACCTTTATCAGCAAAGCTAACTTGACTATGAAAATCCAGGGCTCCATTTGCATCCAATAAAAGAACTAATTTCTGAAACATCTTGAAATTGTTTTGATCCAAAACTTCCTAGAAAAACATGGTTCCTACAAAACACACCTTCACACACCTGAATAAATGATCATATTACTAAGAAGTGAATGAATCTAATACACTATTGTGATGCACATATATGTTGTATTTACAGCTTTGTCTGTCATTTTGTAAAATATAATTTTACAAAGGTCATAGAGCCCGTTTATCCAGAGTAACTGTGTTCTACTCTGAATTTGTACCTCTGAAGATAGTTCGGTTTCTTTGGATTGTATTTTGGATATCAGACTAAATGCACACCATATTTTTAGATTTACTGTTGGCAAAAAAAAAAGTAAAATAGTAAAATCTTTCTATGGTAAATTAAAGTTTGTGGCTAATATGACCAGATGTGAAAAGATCCAAGCCGTATTAAGGCGTCTGAAAGCTGCTGAAACCTTCCTGTCGAGGCTTCATTCCTGCGCCGAGTCTCAGCCGCAGCCCTGTGATCCTGGCTGACGGTGGGAATTTTCGATAAGCGCGACCAAGTGTTTCATTCATCATATATGATGCACATATATGGAGAAAAACATAATGAGTCCAGTATTTCTGCTACTTTAAGGCTCCTGTTTGTGGCTCGGATAAAAGATTTTTTTGATTAAGATGCACAAAGATTGTGCAACTGCACTGCAGGGGAAAAAAAAACTGTGTAAACATTCATTAGTTTTAAACAGATGCTGGAACATTTAACTTCACGGCCTGCGTTTGCATTCTGGCTCCTCCGCACAACCAGCAGAAGCGAATACACACAGAAAAAAACTCGTCCTGTGTGGGTGATATTTTCTAAAAACACACACTTTTTGCAGTGTGTTTGTTCAGCGTCTTCTTCTGTGTAGTCCCATCACCTACCAGCAGATGGAGACAGAAGTATATGCAAAAAAAAAAAGAAAAAAAAAAAAGTCAGTTCAGCAGCTTCATTTGAAGCCAAGCCTGACACACACTGCGACGTCCAGAATTATTCATACCCCTGGCAGATTCTGGCAAATTCAGATTTAAAGACATCTTTTAATTTAACTTAACTACAAAGCATATTTAAAGTATGTGGAAATGTGATACTGCAATGAACCGATGATCTATGCAAAAACCCCCCAAAAAACCTGACTGATATTTCATATCAGAGTCTGGAATTTCCCGTTCCAGACTGGTTCGAGTTCATGGGAAAATCCAAGGTTCTACAACATTCCAAATCATCCTTCCTGTATCCTCACCGATTAACTGGGAGCAGCTGTTTCCATTGACTTAGCAGGTGATTAACAGGAAGCGCCCCGCAGTGGTGACGAGTAACGGCTGAAGCAAAGGCAGTTCAGTGAGGATCTGCGGCTGCACATGACGGCTGACCACAGCTGACCACAGCTCAGGAAAATGCTTTAAGGCCTTCTGACCACTAGACACACAACAAAAATGTGACAGACCTTCAATAGTGTCCCATCTCGAGTCCTGTCTTTGTTCTACGACAGAATCTGTGCAGGCAGCTACAGATTAGGGTGATGGTGAAGAGGCATTTAGCCTGAATGAAAAGAAGAAGACAGGAAGTGGCTGTAGTCAAAGGACTCCCCCGTGTATCTAGAAAAAATGGAGGAAGTGAGGTCATGGCCTTCAGCAAGAGGATTCAGAAATCGGCACACAAAGCTTTCTCTGTCTGATTTGATTTCCAGGAGTTTCATCCAGAGATGCAATCGAACAGCGTCACTCAAAGCACACTTAACGGCCCAGTCAAAGTCCAGACCTAAACTCAACTGAATATTTGCAGCGAGATTTCAAAACTCGACAATCTCAGAAGCTCTCCAGCAGAGAAGAACGTGCAAAACGTACAGACTCCTGACACGAAAACCTGCTTGGAACGTAGGCCGGAAAACCTGCGGCTGCAATTGTAGCACAGGGTGGTTCCGCAGGGTTCTGATTGAGGCCCCACAATTTTTTCTTTTAAACTTTTATTTCCATGTTCACTGATGCCCTGTTGTCTCAAATGAAATCTGAATCGAATACACCGGAGCGAGAGGCAAGAGTGTGACGAACTGTGACTGAGTTCTGTAGATTTTGAATACAGCGCCAGAAAGACATCGCGGTCATTTTAGCCTTCGCTGACCTCAAAGTACTTCAGTACTTGTGTCTGATTATTGTTAGAAAAGAGCGTCCCCTCAATCTTACCAAGCCTGTGAGTTTGTTATTCGTAATACCTTAAAATATACATTTTCTTTGTCTCAATCTACAAGCTCATGTTGCAAAATCAGCTCATCTCGGTCAAGGAAGATATTTATCTGGCCTGAGAAGAGGCTCTGCAGCTTCTTTTTTTTTTTTTTTTCTACCTGAAGGCATCAGATAGTGAGCTCACCTGCCCAGACATTTGCTTGACCTTGGCAGTGACTGATAGACTCCTGACTCATGAGTCCTCCACCCACCGCGCCGGCGGTCACTCGGTCGTTCGTCTCTTGTTTCATCACACAGCAAGGAATCATGGGGTGTGGAGAGGCAGAGCAGGCTGGGACGCTGCGGTCACCTGCTCTGGACATTTCAGGAGAGGGTTTGGTGTAAAACTACGGCGTTAAGCTTTGTGACGCCAGGGAAAGGTCGTTGCAGCTGACGAGTGAGCATACTGAAAGCATCAGTAGAGTTGAATCAGTTTTATTTTATTTTTATTGGGTATTTCGGAAGTTTTTGCTAAGTCTTTCAGGCTCGCCTACAAATTCCTTGAACGTATTTGTTTTGGTTGGCCTCCTGAAGACCCTCAGTAATTCTGGATCACCTGCAGAAACAACAGGTAAACGTGTCTGGCTAATTACTGATACCGGCTGCAGTACTTTTTAATTCTTGTTTTTTTAATCTCTACAGACAGATGGACCAAGCGGCCGCATGCTGATTTTACCTCGTTGAGCCACTCGGTGAAGGCAGAGGTGCGCGTGAAGACGGTGGGTTTCTGCACTTCGTTGCACATGGCCGAAGACACAAAGCTGGTCACGCCCTGAATGTACCACCTACCGTCCTGACCCAGGCAGTTCAGAGGGCCCCCAGAGTCCCCCTGTGACACAAACACGGCATGGAGCCTCAAGCGGAGTCCGGCTGTAGCTGCTGGAGCTCAAACAGGTGGATTCTGCAGAGGCGTTTACTCACGTTGCACGCAGAAATTACATCACCTCCTGCACACACCATGGTGGTCTTCACCGTGTGGCCCCACCAGTCGCTGCGGCTGCAGATGCTGTGCTCCACCACGGGCAGCAAGGCCTGCTGCAGTATGTCAGGCATGGGGCCGTGGGCTGATGATTCACAGGGAAGATCGAGTGACATTGACAGGTAAACACATTCAGCGTTCAGCTGATAAAGGTGGAGTTATTAAAACCTAACAAAGGAAAAACCTTTGTTGTGATGACACTAAATCATCACAACAAAGTTTCTCCATTAAGCCTCGACCAACATTTTTAGGAGCATTTCACTGAGAAGCAGCTCTGCAGATGCTCAGTTCCACCAGGTGTTTGCTAATTGCTGCTGGCTATTCTGAAGGAGCTGAGTGATTGACTGGTGGAAGATGGCTGCTCTGTGAGGAAGAAGCTCAAACCCCTTTTTTTTATAATTGCAGAGCAGCTTCTTGCATATTTCTATTGACATTTCGAACATTTGTCTTTGTTGCTGAGCTCGTAGTATTTGAGGTTGGAAGAAACTCTTTAAATCTTTAGCTCCTCCCACAAACTCCAGGACACAAATAATTTTGGTTTGAAAATGCTGACCATAACTGGAACTGCTTCCTCCTCAAAGTCATCGGGTTTAATCATTGGGACTTGTTGACTGGAGTTATACAAATCAAACAGTATGTTCAAAGTAGTCCAGTCCAGGGGACAAACACTGTGAGAGAGAAGTAGCGGGGACTTTACTGTAAAGGTTGCCCCAGCCAGAGATGAAACATTGGGTCCCGTGGGCCAGGATCTCTCCAGCCTGAGGAAGACAAGCCACGCCGACACTGTCGTTCATAATGGGGCTCTTATCCAGCTTCAGCAGGGCGAGGTCGTTGCTGAGAGAGAAGCATTGTGACATGAAGCATTTGTCTCAACAGGAAGGCAAGCACTCTGACGCGTTTGTTTCTTTTAGTGCCGTGAGTCGATTAGAAAAGGTGATCAGATTCATCACACTCAGGCGTTGTGATCAGTCACGATCAGTCGTCACGTTTAACTCTGTTGGCTTGAAGTGTCGAAATGCGCGTTTTCAAAAAAATGTCAAGAAAACATTTATTGCCACAAACCGAATTGATTCTCAGTTTTCTGGGGTTTCATACACAGCAGGGTTTAAAAAAGTCATTTTGTTTCAAACAGAGTTCAGAAATGTTAACTATACCCTGTTTGTGCTGCACTATGTTGGTACAACCCTGGATTTATCCAAATGTCCTTGACTGTGGTGTTTTTTTGCTGTTGCTATTTTTACGCCTGTTTTTAAGGATAGCTTCGTCACCAGTGGTCTTTATTTGACAGTAATCTGTCAGGAAAGGGGCAGCAAGAAGACAAGTGGCAGAGGAAAGTGGCAGTTCCTCTGAGGAACTGAGGAACTGCATTTAGAGGTGTTCGCTCTAAACGCAGTGTTTGTTCAAGTGAAACTCTCCTTACTCTCTTTGTTGAGTCTGCTACAGACTCAGCACTGTTGACCGCGGTACAAGACCATTAAACGTGCTTTTTTTAGTTCGGTAGCCCTCTGCCTGAGAGAGGCGTCTTGGTCAAAATACGTAACGCAGTTAATATGCATTATTTGATGTTGTCAAAGTGTTGAGCTTTTTCGATCAACTGCATCAATCTCTTCATTTTCATTTGATAATATCTGTGTCATCTCGTTGATGGATTCGTTAATCTGTTTCAAGCGGTCAGACTTTTTGCGTCACCCACCCGTTGGCCACATGGTCGATGTCCCACTCAGGATGGACAACGATGCGCAGGATGTCTCTGATCTGCTCTGTGCCCTCCTGTAGGCTCAGGTTGTGCTCCCCTAAAGCCACGCGGTACACATCTCCGGGCCTTCACAAGAGAGAACACGCTCATTGCTCACCGATATGAGGCAGCACCATTTCACTGTAAGCGTCTGGCATTATTATGTGACGTTGTGTTGACGGTGCTGTGAGTGGTTGGTCACCAGATGCAGTGTCCAGCAGTCAGCACCCAGCGAGGAGCGACCAGCGTTCCTCCACACGTGTGATGGAAGCGGGAGCCGTGTTGCACTTGTAGGGAGATCTGTGAAAGTGACGGCTTGTTTTATCTTCCAGCAAGCGCAGACAAAGCAATGCTCATGATGCATGAATAGAACAGGCAAAAGTACTCCATGTTAGTAGAGAGTGGCTGCTAAAGTGACTACTTTCAGCCAAAGTAGTCATTTTAAAGTCGCATGTCGCATCATCATCATTTAGCATGTAACAGTGAAGTGTTCAGGAAAGTACACATAGTTTTCAAATTGCTTTACAAATTCAATTGAGAAAAGTGTGGAATATATTTGGATTTCACCCCTTTATTCTTTATAAATAAAACTCTTTACAACTAAATCTGGCTTCTACAGAATCCTGTTTGCAGTTTGGCAAAGTCTCTGTAGGGGGCACTCAACCTTTATGGGCAGGTGGATGTAAATGCAGGAGAATCCTGGACGAAAACCTGTTAGAGTCTTCAAAAGATTTGAGTCTGACTGAACTCATCTTACTTTGCAATGAAAAATTGGCAAATATAGTGAGTAAAAACACAACTTTGTCATTCTTTCAAATTTGTGAGGTCAGACACTGATGTTGGATGAGGAGGTCGGGGCCAGTCTCAGCTCTGACTCACTCTGAAGGTGTCCTGTCGCGTCGGGGTCCTTCTGCACCGACTCACTCATCCATGTGTTTACGGGTCTCGCTTGGCACATTGGCCTACAGCCATATTGAAACAGGAAGCGACCGTTTCTGAACTGCTCTAAAAGTCATTAGCATCACAATGTCCAACATGCTGAAGCATAAAGAGTTTATTTTACACCGCACTTTTTTTTTTTAACTTAATATGGCAACCATGTATTATTATCCTTCAATTTCATGTGGACATGTAGGCCCACTTTCACCCTTTGTTTTAGTCCATCACAAATACATTTTTTTTCTTGTCTGCGTGGTTTTGAATGTGTGCAAATCGACCCTGGGTGTGAATACTTTTGCCGCATGATTTACCTGCCAAGGCCAGCTATGGGGACGAGCATCCACTCCATTCACCACCCTGCTGGTGTCTGGCTTCACTGCAGGTGAACCGCACCCAAAAACTGCAGAAAGCATCAGAGCAAATCAATCTGCAAATAAAGTCTAATATCAGGTAAATACCTGACAACTATATTTTAAAGCGAGGGAATAAATAAAGAAAAACTCACCAAACGCCGCCTGCAGCAGGACGCCGACTAGAGTCCGCAGCATGCTTTCAATGTAAGAGATGATAAAAATTCTGCTCTGTCCTGCTCTGCTTCTTTTATATCGCTGTTGTCCTGTCCCTGTGGAGCGGCCTTATCTCGACCCGCTGAGAAAAAGTCCCACTTCCACAGATGCGCCAACGTTCCAGCCAGAAACTTGGACAGCAGCGTGGCTGCATTGTCAGTGTGCAGAGAGAGTCTTGGTATTTTGAACGGCCGACATCTATTGAGTTTGTTGTTTCAGTTTGGTTTCCTGTGCAAGTTATGAAAAGGGCCGACATTTCTGCACGACACCACTCCACTCAATTTCATCTCCCAGAAGCCAGAAAATGTCAATGAAATTGAGTTATTTTAATCAAAGCCTAATTAAAGTGAAAAACTGAATGAATGTTGCAAAACAAAAAGGTATGTCCTGCTTTCTAATAATTTATTTTTTGTTAAAAGCTCAGAAATGTTGCTGCCAGCTTCCCTGAGTAAATAATAAATCTAATCCGCTTCAGTAAAACGGTTATCAGTTTGTGACTCGACACATGGGACATTTCCCAAGGCTGCTGGGTAAGTTGGGTCGACTTCAGGGAAATCTCTTACGGAATAAGATGCTAAAAACATTGAGATTGTACAGGAAGTTCTGTAAACTGAAGCAGTTTCTTTCTATGGAGCTAAATAATGATGCAAATAGGTGGGGAACATTTACAGGCAGAGAGCCCAACTTGTATCTTGTTTGATGATGGGACTTGCGGCTCTTTGAAGGGACTTCACTTTAAAGAGCCGTTAAAACGCTACGTCTTTGGACACCTTTCTAACAGGCAATTTTATCCCTTATGCAAGTTTTGAAATTCTCAAGGAAGTGGGATCATCCGTACTAAGAAAAATTCACATTTGTCCAAACGCTGTGAAATACAAACTCGGTGCGTTCTTGCAAAAAAAAACAGCTGTTTATTGTTCTTTGTATGCACAACTAAGATTTTAAGACTATTTGTAATTTAGAAGCAAAATGTAAGAACAAAAAATGTACTTAACAAGCAGCATTATGTAAAACCAACTTTCTTTTAGCTTTCATCATATATAATTATAATCTCTTTCCCTCAACAACATGCCTGAAGTGTTGTTTTATTCTTTGCGCATGTTTGAGAACTTCTTTAATCTCCTGTGGCAAAACGCACCGCCTTTTCTGTGCAGCTCCTTCAGACTAGCCTGACTCAATTAGCAACCACCTTGTGGGACTGCACTTCTGCTCGTTATGGGAGATACTTCTCAATGAAACGTTGATCAAATGGTTATTAAAAGGTTGATAAAGAAGTGATGTGGCTATGACTTCCTGAAGACAGAGTTTCAGAAAGAACAGGGGTCTCTTAAGGAGACAGAGACCCAACTTCAAGGCATCAAGCTGTGAAGTCAAACTTCTTTAAAGTCATATTCAATATATCTGACATTTTCATAACAACTGGAGGTGAAACGGCTGGAAAATCCGTGACACTGTCCCTTTAAAAACAACAATCACCCATTTCTATCAATTGTGTGTGCAGAGCAATATAAGCAAACCAAGTGGCAGAAAACAAAAGAGCTCTCACTAAGAGTTGAGATTGGAAGTCTGAAGTGCGACAAAACACAACCTGTTCCTCAGAACCAGATAGCTTTCTGGGTCACCTTGGAGGGAACCGGTCCTGATACGACTGTCTCTGCTCTAACTGCAGGTTGTGTGTTCACAATATGGGGGCGGGGGGCCGGTGCTCCAGCTGAGTCTGGGTTCGATTCTTCACGCCCCACTCAGATCGTCTCCTCTCCTCCTCAGGGAAACCAATGTCACTCTCTGGAGAGGACACATCCATAATGTTCCCCTCTTTTCAGGTGCAAATCAACTCAATAGCGCCTCGGCGGCTAAGAGGCTTCGCTTGTTTTTCCTGCCATGTCCAAATAACTCCCTCCACCACCAGAGACGGCGCGAAGATTTATGGAGCAGACATGTGCTGCGCGTTTGCATAACACGGCAGTGACAAAGTTGTGAATAATTCGGATTAGGGCCGGGGAAACGGATAGCTGACAATGAATTAGTCACCGACGGCGTTTACGGGAGCCTCGCTCGAGTGGAAGTTTCTCTTTATTATGAATGGGTTTCTAAAGAGCAATCAATCCCATAAAACTGAACAAACGTGGAAAAGAACCAGTGGCCCTTTTCTGAATCGTATCCATGCTGATGGTATACCGCTGCTTACAACACAAATATTTGTGTTTCACAACGGGACTCGCATTAAGCGGAGTTCGTCAACCTTTGTGCGTGCTTTCCACACTCGGAAGCCGAACAAGAACCACAATCCAGTTCAGCTTTAGTTTGTTTTGGTAAATTACAAACACAGAAAACAAAAACAGTATAACTTACAAACCCATAATTTACCCCTGCCCCCCAAAAAAGGAATATCCTGAAGCAAGGGCTTGTGCTTGCCTGTTTACAAACTTCTATTGATTCCATGAGACTTTTAAACTTTGGATTTTCCAGGCAAGCAGTAGCATTTTATAACTCAATCGAGCATTTATGTTACCATCAGCTGTATATGTCAATCAAGACATATACAAAGAAATTTGACTTTGTAATTTTGAATTTTGAAATTGGGCCTCTGTCCCTTTAAGAAACTCCGCCTCCATGAAGTCGTCACCACATGGCTCCTCTATTAACCCTTTAACAACGTTTCTACCAGCGTTTTGCTGAGCAGCAGCTTCTATAATGAGATCAGCAGATGCTCAGTTCCACCAGGTGTTTGCTAATTGCTGCTGGCTAGTCTGAAGGAGCTGAGTGGGAGGAAACTTGGAAACTGGAAGGCGTTGCTTGAGCCACTCAGGCTGAATGGGTAACATGCGTAAAAGAACCAGAGCAACACTCCAGGTTTGATTTTGATGAGGGAATAACATGTTAAATGATGTAAAGCTAATAACAAAAAAGTCAATGTTACATCATACTGCCCCTTTAAGTGGTAGATCAACACAAAGTTGAACAAAATCTAACATTTTCAAAAGGGTTGGGTGCATTTATAAACCTGCCTCGTCTAAAAACTGGAGGCTTAAGTCGCTACTTTTGGAAGCTCTGTTTTTAACTACCAGTAAAAATTATTAAGGTCTCTTATTGCATACAGGGACATTGCATATATTCAGATATACCAAGCAAATTGTTCTTAAAAAGAACAAAAATTTGCTCCAAACTGTGTGAGTTTTTCCTAAACTGTCTAGAGTTACAACCATTTCCAAACCTCCGGAATGTCTTTGATTGTTTCGTTCAGTCCGTTGTTCTGCTGAAGGTATGAAAACTGATATTTCCAGGGGAGAAATATGGCCGCCCACAGAAGCAGGTCTGCCTTTCATTCGGTGGCGTCTCCAGACAGAGATAAATGGTCTGAGACCAGGCAGCCTGGTGCAAGAGCCGAGTTCGCATCTCCCATGGTTTTCAGATATGTCAGAAATCTGCCGACGGGCCACAGACACAGGAAATGCTGCCAATTAAACCTTTTGAGACATAAATCACACTTCAGTGCTACGTCACACTCAGTGACCAAAAACCTGGTCTCCAGTTACGAACAGCCATTAGGTTAAGATATATTTGCCCAATAAATTCATCGCATATAGGTCAGCTTAAGCTATCATTTTCATAAAGTAATTGGAAAAAAAAATGCAATGCGTGTTTTCTGGGGGGGGTTTCCCCTTTTTTTTGAGTGTGACCATCGACTCTTTTAAATCAAGACACACACTTGGGGAGTGAAACCAGGTTTTCTTGTGCTAGCCTTAGCTCCTCCTGGGGAAGATTTATAAATTGGCTTCAAATAATTGTACATGTATATATACTATATATATCTATATAATGTATATATATAGATATATATAAACTCATCAGGTTGATTATATGCAGTGAATGCTTGAATATATGCAATGTGCCTGTATTATAGCAGGTTCCCAACCTGGTAACTTTTTGTCAGACCCTTTTCACCAACTAAACTTCATGTAATATTTGCTCACACCAATCCTGTTCGGTCCGCTTCAATCAAACTCTGGTTCATTTGTCTGTGACTGCACTGTCGAACTCGGACCAAATTGCGGACCAAACTCTTTCAAATTCCTTAAAATTTCCGCAACCACCAGGCGCGCCAGTACTTTGCGTCCGGTGGTTGAGGAGCAGTGTGTGTTTCCTTTCTCCTCCGTCCTTCCTGCTGATCTTCCTCTCGGTCGGGACGGATGAGACAGGATTAATCTGATCATTGCTAGCAACCTGTTCCTCTTGAGCACTTTTGGAGACATTTACTGAGCCACAAAAAGCTTTTTCTTTTCCGCACAACAAGGCGAATCATTCCATCTTTTCCACAGTTTGTCACTTTACAGCTTCCACTTCTGATACCTGAGATTTGGTGCCGATCCGATACAGAAGGACAGACCTGAATTGACTTCAAACATTTTCTGTTTTTGACACAGACAGAAGAGTAATTAATCAGAAGCTTATTTCATAACTCTGCCCCAGTGCAGCACATATGTAAATAAATAATAAAGAAACTAACAAAAACAACAGGTTGATTGTCTTAGTCTGCATAGATCTGCCCTTATGGATCAGCCACACCGTCACAATACCCCATAATTTATTTTCTTCTATAATCGGCGCCGATAACCGATATTAGTATGGAATAGTTGTGTATTTAAGAAAAAGGACACACGTCTTTACAAATGACAAATGATAACGCCAGAAATGTGGTGTGCATTTCCGCTCACCCCCCTTTGACTCCAACACCCCTAAATTAAATCAAGTGAAGAAAATTCCTTCAGACGTCAGTCGCAGAGGTTTTTTTTTTGGATAGATCAACGTAAAATAAAAATAAAAATCAAGGGCTTGATTTTAAAACAATACGCAGAACTTTAACCATTTTACTGTTCAATACAGTTTGTGAAAACTGACATGGTAAGAAGAAATCTACAAACCTCGCTGGTATGGATATTCCTATTCAGTCCCAGGTATCGTTTTGGAGCCCAACGACTGAGCCTTTTTTTTAAAAAAAAAG